GTGTTGCCTTGCGCTCGCGCTGCCGCACTGCCTTGTGCGGTCTCACACGGCCTCTGAGCATTCTCGCGTGACTACTTGGCCAGTTGCCCCGTCTCCTCAGTCTCCGTTCCGTTGAAAAGAGTCACTGCATTAAAAAAATGTTAATATTTATAACATTAATTACAAACAATCTTGAGAGCAGAAATAACTTTCGGGAAACAATCTTTCTCGATTTTGACGCTGTACTTTTGCTCCCAGTGTGACCTTTTCTTCTTTAACGCCTTCATCACCTTCCTACCCACCTGCAACTCGGGAACTTCCATGGTTTATAAGCTCGATTCCACCACACACACTAACCCTTTTGTCCCTCTAATGTGTGTATTCGAATTTTGGCAGATGTTGGAAGACTTGGGGTCGTGTTTTTAGGGGCCAGGAGAATTCAGAATTTTTTGTACTACAAATTTGGTTCAAATTATTGGGCACGAGACTATAGTGCTGTTGTCATACGTTGTTTTGTTTTTGTCCTTTTTAAGATATTAAAACAAAAATTCTATAAAGTCATTGGAGGTTTTCTTATACATCACTTAATATATTATATTGACACATGTCCAAATTGAATTTATTGTAGAGCACGTATCAATACACTGATGAATAAGTGTGGATGACTCCATAAGTCGAGGATTCTAACGGCTCCATAACAAAACTGGATATTAAAAATACAGAAAATTACCTTGCACACTATATTATTCATTTTTTTGTTATACAATTACACCCCTCATATAATTATTAGTGTTCTTGAAATCGCTAAGGGGGCGATTGTATATGGATTCTACAGTAAAAAACTCAATCAAAACTCAAATTTAACTCAACTTTAACTCAACTCCAGTATCTCCAATATTGTTAATATAGTTAAATAATATTAACCAATCATTCTTACACATCACATCAACTTTGATTCACTATTCATCCACTCACATACTTTTAACTAACTATCAATTCCAATCATTTTCTTCTATTTTTATATCAAATCAACTTTAATTATTTCATTTTAAATACTATTTTAATATATCCACTAACAACTAACCATACCACATTTTTTCAAACTTAACTATAGTTAAGAAAAAACTAGTTTTTTACTAATTGAATTCATATCTAATCACGCCCTAAGCGCTCGACCAGCACCTAACGCCTAGAACAACTAGGAGAAGGAATAGAAATCAAGATTAAATACTTTAGTTTTGTATTTATTTTCACTACTTACAAAATAGAACTATCTCAACTTATAATAAATCAATACACCTAAGTCTAAATAATAATATTAATATATCTATCTATTAATATATAAAAAGACAACCTAAATAATTCTAAAATAGTAAGCAAAAAATAAGATGAAATCCCGCCTCAATCTTTACCAATAATAGTAATTTTTTAAAAAAAATTCACAATATCCCACTTATTCAAGCCCGGGTTTCTTTTGAAATTTTCATAAATCTATTGTAAAATCACAGATTTTGAAAGTAAGTAATGTACCAGCAAAATCGGATTAATCAATTGAAAAGCATATCTNCTGAAATTCATTCACAAATTACAAATAAGAGTCCAGTTTACATGATTTTCTCATTTGTTTTCGAAAATTTTATATAAAATTTGGGATAATATCATTAATATCGGTAATTAAAGTACCAAACGTTTTGTCAATTAAAAAGTATATCAATCAATTTGTTATGTTACAGACTCTTAAAATTATTTTTGTTACAACAAACGAATTACAAATAAGAGTCTTTACATGATTTTCTCAATTTGTTTTTTACAATTTTATATAAAATTTTGGATAATATCATATTAATATCGGAAATTAGTCTACCAAATATATCGTTTTTGTCAATAAAAAATTGTTTTTGTTACAACAAACAAATTACATATAAGAGTCCAGTTTACATGGTTTTCTCAATTTGTTTCAGAAATTTTATATATAACTTGGGATAATATCATATTATTATTGGTAATTAGTATACCAAACATATCTATTTTTTCAATTAAAAAACATATCAATCAATTTGTTATGTTACGGACTTACTATATTTAATATTGTCATAAGATTGTATATGTCAATGATCACCTCTATATATAATTTCAAAATGGGTTGAGTGTACGTATCGGCTCTTTCGAGCTTGGCCATGGCCTTTTCTCAGGCCAAACTTTTTCCAGCCTCATGCACCCAGAGATTGAAAATAAAAAAAAAATAAAATAAAAAAAAACCGCTAAAAAGAAGAAGGAGAAATCCCGCCGGAAGCCGACTCTACTTCAACTGGACCGTTCGCCACTATGCTTCAATCGGATTCTGGCCTCCAGATGCAGCTGAAAACCACCGTGATTCAGCCGGATTCCGGCGACTGGACTCAACCGCTGCGCATGTCATTTTTCAACAAAAGTTATACCACACTAAAATGTTCATTGGAATTTTCATTTAAATATGGCAATTTTTTGTAATGGTTGTGCCTTAGCATTGATACATCTGAAAATGTGAGGTTCATTGCAATAAAGTCCAATTGATACACCTGGAAACGCAAGGTTCATCTGAAAATTTATGTTAAATGATTAAACTAGCGTACGTGGAGCTTTTAAATTTTTCAAAATATTCCTGCATAGATAAGCAATAGGTTAATTTGCAGTATGTACTACTCGATGAAATTTTCGTTTTGGACTTGGGTAGTATTAAGAATGCAAATTCACGTTGATTTGACCGACTACATCTTAAGCATATCAATGTCCACCAATTTCACAAATAATAATATTCCTTTTGATTGCTAACTTAGTACCAACTATCAAACCTTTTTTTTTTTCTAAAAAGAATTATGGTTCACCAACTGTTTCTTTAGCAATTTAGGCTCATCAATAATTTTAATTTATAAATATTATTTAATGAAAATTTTTAGTTCATAAATATTAATGAATATCCCTCCTTTAAATTTTTCCGTCGCCTTCCCCGCTAGGGCCCGGCGAGTGCTCAGTGGGGCTCAACTGGGCGTCACGGCCCTTATCCGAGAAGATGCGCCGCTAGGAGGGAAGCTTTTTCGCTGGGGAGAGGGTTGCGCCGTATTCCGGCTTTCGCCTCGGGGCTGGGATTGAGTGGCGGTCGGCTCTTCTTCCTTCGGTATATCCGTTGCGGCGGCCTCTGGCGCTCTTCCGGTGAGTGCTGCGACCCCAATTTTNTTTTGGGGGGGAGACTTTGTCCGGCCATTCTGTTCTTCTCGGCCAGGATTCTGGTTCTCGTGGGCGTGGGCGTCGGGCTCTGATTCGGGGCGTTGGTCGGCTCTAGTAAGGGACGTTGGTCGGCTATGGTGTTGGCTGTCGAATTCGTGGTCGACGAACCTAGTTCCTATTGGGATCTGTGAGGATCTCGTCATGTACAAGTCACGGATCTAAAAGTTCGACGTAGAGAACTTACGTCTTAAAATTTATGGCGATCTGGCTGGCTGAACGGATGACTGCAAATCACGTCTCGGATTGCACGAACAATATAGAATAATATATTGTCATAGAATTTGAGTAGGGTGAAATACACATATAAAACCTATATTGTAAAGTGGGAAAATGCTACTTTATTTGAAAAACGTATTCTCAGAATACGTTTTTCAATGAGGATGACTCTATAACGGAGTCATCGGATGGTTCCATAGCAGGATTGTTGTAAAGTGTAAACTATCATAAGTTATAAAAATTAGTATTAAAATTCACAACTATTTATATACTAATCTAGTACTAGTTGTTACTAAGAGCCTCTCCAATGCTGCTCCAGATCCATATCTATCGCTAGAGTTGTGTTGAGTTTACCTCTCCAGTGCATCTCCACATTTTTGCGCTAGATGAAATATATGAACAGTACATCGCCAGATGTGGCGATGAACTGTAGCTGCGCTATAACCTTTTTTTTTTTTTTAAGTGGTTTTGTTGATGCTCGAAATTTGATCAACATGGGGGGTTCAGAGGAATTTATTGTATTGAATTTTTGATGAATAAATCATGAAATATTGAAGAAGAAGCTGTGTTTTTGTATGAACAGCGTATATGAAGAAGATGAAGCAGGCGAAAGAGAAAAGCAGGAGGAAAAGATTTCCTCTGCCACACCGCCTCTCCTCCCTCCGATAAGATCAGAAAAATAATAATAGCCCCCTCAGATCTTTTTCGATGATGTCCATCATCGGGATATTTATATATATTTTTAATGGGCCCGATATTATCACAAGCGGTATTATTTAAGGCCCAAAAAATAAAATATTTATATAAAACATATCCACGTGTAATATTTTAATAGGCGAGGCCAAAATTTTGGTATCAACAGGTTTATTGCAGGCTTTTTTTATCTTTATTTTTTCATATGTTAATCTAATTTTATAAAAAAATATTTCAATATTTTTTAAAATAAATTAAATTATATAAAAATATATTTTATCAAATTTAAAATACAACTTATAAAAATACTCTATAATAAACATAATTTAAAAATACTGAAAAATTATTTATGATAGAGCAAAATGTGTAATATATTAATATGTGATAAATAGTTTGACAAATAATATGACTATAAATAATTTTTTGTTTTTTTATGCTCTAAACCATATATGGTCTAGTGTGTAAATTTGCACTAATTCATATATGATCTAAACCATATATGGTCTAGTGTGTAAATTTGCACTAATTCATATTTGGGTAATAAACATTTATATAATATTACATATTCATATATATAGCAAATTATTTGAAATAAAAATAAATAAAATATATTTTTATTATTTGAGTAATTAACATTTTATATAAGATTAAATATATATATATACCAATTTATTTGAAATAAAAAATGAATAAAAAAATAATATATTTAATGTAGAGTAAAATGTAGAGATAAGCACTGCAGATGAATGTTCAACTCTATTCTAGAGTAGAGTAAAGTCCGCGCTAGAGCAGAGATAAGGGCTGGAGATGGCCTAACAACGTCATACTATCATCAAATTTGTAGTACAAAACAATTCACGTGCCCTAGACGATTATGGCCAGTTTGGGTGTGTGAAACCTAAAACACAACCCCAAATCTCCAACATCTGCCTAAATTTGAGTACACACATTAGAGGGTGTAAAAGGGAAATTGAGCTTGTAAACCATGGATTTTCCGGAGTTGCAGGTGGGTAGGAAGGTGATGAAGGCGATAAAGAAGAAGAGGTCGCACTGGGAGCAGACGTACAGCGTCGAAATTGAGAAAGAATGTTTCCCGCAAGTTATTTCCGCTCTCAAGAAATCCTCGTATTCGAACTTTGCCGACAATGGTTAGTGCGATTACGGCCACTTCTTCGTGGGTTACGGCCGGGTTGATTTTGCTGCCGTGGTTTAATTTTTTTTTTTTTTTTTTTGGTTCNTTTGGTTCTTTTCCAGGTGTAGCAGAGCTCCGAATGATAGGGATGGACGTAATGGAGGGAGCCTGCAAGCTGGTGGCAGAGAGGTTCAGAAAGTGCGTGTTCGAGAGAGGGTTTAACGAGAGGCAAGACGAACTTTGCCGTGCGCTTGTGGATGTAAAGGAGCTGTGTGAGGCTCTGGACGACGATAGCCGTGGTTGGCTGGCGCGGGCCAGGCTCGAACGTGACGAGTCGTCACTTTTACTGGCCGAGTCCTTGGACAGATGGAGACATGTCTTTGACTCGAAATTCTTGCCCTGGATTCATACCCCAGATAAGGTCTACCAGCTGAGGAAGTTCCAAGGTCTTGGGTTGAGGCTCGAGAAGCAGAAGCAGACGACCATCTCCCCAACAAAGCACAAAAACATTACGAGTTTCGTGGAGAAAGTAAATCTCAGGATGTTTAAATTATTCAGCAGGACCTTGGTGGTCAGCCCATCTCATGTCAGGGAGGTGCGCTTTCGAAATGATGTCGACTTGTACGATTTACATAACTTTCGAAATGAGTTTTTTCATAATTTTGTGTATTGATGTGAAGGTTGTGAGCAGAATGAGTGATGTTCCGCTTGTTGAGTTGTCCTCTTCCACTGGTTATTTACAAAAAGAAGCCTGCCGCCTGACGAAGAAGAGGCTGGTGGGCCTGGACAGCACGATCGATGGAATCTTTGAAGCTTTAGCAGGCTCCTGCACGAATTCGGGGCCCAGGCCCAGGGGTTTATTCCTCCTTGTGGGCCGAAGTGGGTCCGGTATCACAGAGATTGCCAAAGCCGTTGCGCAACATTGGTATGGAGACGAGAGCAGGCTTGTGGAGATTGAGATGTGCAAGTATTACGATGGAAACCCCTTTGGAAATGCAACAAGGGATCCCGAGTCATGGCCAAGGCACTGGATTGCCTTGCTTTGCTTCCTATAATATAAATCATTAGTATTAGTATTAGTATGCGTGGATTCTTTTGGATTTACCTTGCCATCTTTATGTGTTTTTGTAGAACCAAGGCAAACCTCGAGCTTTTCTTGAGCCGTTTCTCGGAGGTGGTGAGGAAACGGCCCTATTCGGTGATTCTTCTCGATGGAATATATAGCGCGGGCTTTTGTGTTAAGGGTCTACTCCAAGTTTTACGTGGTGATACACCAAATGAATCCTCCGGAGTTTATTTTTCCAAGTGTATTATTTTCTTGGCTGCAAGACGGGGGCGTGCTGGGCCTGGGCTTAATGCGAACTGTACATGCTTTGGTGAAAGACCACAACTCGAGGAGGCATTCGAGCGCGAACCAGCAGGATTCGAGAGGGCCCACGACTGTTTGCCTAAAATTTTGGAAGATGCTCTGTCCATGGTATCTACTAATTTGTTTTATGCTTGGGTTGTTTTCCACATGCATTGTAATCTGACTTGTTATTATTTTGCAGGGAAGACGTTTAATTGGGTCCGAGCTGTTTGATTCTATGGTGGTTAGAGCTTTTGCTGTGGATGTTAGGCACAATGAGAAGGCTGTTTGTAGAGTGCTTCTCAGGGAGATGGTTAGAGAAGTTGGTGAGGGAAGGATGCTTGCGCATATCTCAGATGCTGCTTTGAACGCCATGCTTTGGAATTCACGTGCTAGTTTCGTAAGTAGACTGCTATGATTTCATTTTATATTGTTGATCTGTTCTCATTCAGTCTATTACTTTGCTCTTCAATAGTGGTTATCCACTCCTGGAAAGCTTTTGAAAGAAATGTTGGTTGAGGAGGTCCGGCCAAAGTTGGTGGCAGCCAGAGGTTGTTATAATAGCAATGTTATTGTATATATCGACACCTTGGTTGGAACGGGCGAGCTGTCGTTTAGATTTGAAGAGAACAAAGGAAACCTAGCCGATGCGTACTTCAAGCACAAGGACGGGACATTTGGCAGCGTGGTGGCCAATTTGGGGTTAAAACTGCAGTCGGCATGCAATCTGTTTGAGTTGCGCAAACGGATTATGTTTCATTTGAGTCCAACCAAGGGAGACAATGTACAGTTGGGGAGGTCCCTACTGTACATGTGCAAATATCTCTCAAATTTTTCTCCTTTGTCTCCGAGCTTGGAGGTACTTTTTCATTACAAATTTCTTTGCATCTCTTTTTCTTTTTATATATATATACTCAACTTCATGCACTGCCATTCATAGGAGGTAGTAACAACAAGGGGATTAACAGTGACAACATCTAATTCGGGTGAAGAGAAGTCGAAGTTGAAGGATATAGTGATGAGGAGTTTCTTAGCAAAAGCCGATACAAGTCCTGCTGAAGCAGTTGCCCGTGTTATAATCGATGCCTTATCCAAGATGGTTGATGCTCCACTGGAAGATTATTTCCCTCCCACTGCCAGATGTCACCTAATTTTATGCCCGCACGATGACGATGCTAAGAGGCAACTGATTGTATATCTGAGCGAATCCCTCAAGTCGAATTTCACGCACGTCAATCTAAGAAATAACATGAGCAGCGGCCATCAAATCAAGAAGTTGCTGATGGAGGTTGTGAAGGAGAGGATTTTTGCTGTTGTCATGCTCGATGGAGTTGAGCATTCGGATGCTGTCCTCTATAGGAGCCTTCTCGAGATCCTTGATAAGGGTGCTCTCGTTGATGACAGTGGTCAACCCGTTGACTTTGGGGGAGCTATTGTTATCCTCACGTCAGAGGCCGCCAACTGGCAGGCAGTTACTGGCTTCTTTGATTCCTCACCGCGTGATGAGGATACAGATACTAATCAGGTAGTGAAGTCAATTCATTCATATGAGTTAGTTACAATTTGTTTTCATTATGCTTTCAATTTTGGCAGAATATTACGAAACATGGTGGATCTGAGCTGCTTCCGTGGGTTGCGATGAATAGGCAGCCTCCAGAGAAGGTAATTAAGATCTCGATAATTGCCTCGCATTATTAATAATCTCGATAATCACTCTCTCAAACTCAAGTGTATGCTTGACAGAGACGTAAAGTGGAGTCGCTTGCCCGGGTTCAAATAGTTCCCCGCCTTGTTGAGGTAAAAAATATGTAATGGTTGATCTTGAAAGATAATAGCTATATAGAGATTTGTCAAACTCATTCTGCTAACTAACTTTTTTTTTTCTTGTGTATGGCATGGCAGGAGGTGAAACGATTTAGGACGGAATTGCTTAACCGGGTGGGTGAAATAATTCTTTTTAACCCAACAGGTTCACGCGAGCATGGACACATCCGCAGGCTTTCTAAATGCAACAACTTCATCAAATGCTCCGCAACTAATGCTGTATCGGTTTCGAGCATCATTAGATTGTTCCAATGTGGCGGTAAGGCGGCTCATATTACTTAAATGCTTAATCTTATGTTGATTCTTACTTGTGTATCTTGTTTTGTCCTATCACATGTTTTTTTTTAACATTTTATAAGTGCGTTTGATTTGTTGTTTTTCACAATGTTGTTATTTTCCACAGATAGAGACGACGGGTTTTTTGATTATTTACAACAACAGTTGTCATCATCGCGTGTCAAATTCCATTTGTTGGGGAGCGTGGAAGATAACTATGGAGTTGAGGAGACCTGTTCCTCTTACTTTGTAAGTTATGAATGAATGGCTGAATGAGCTTTAATTTAATATATGTATGGTACTGTTTAAAATTAATTAAGTTTACGTTAGCGGGTATTAAGTCGGACGCATAGATGTGAACTCGAACTGAACAGGACATTTGTTGGGTCAATCTGGTGAGGATGCATATTTGTTGTTGGTGATTTGTCATGAATCGAAAGATAATATGTCGTAAAATTAAATGAGACGAAGTTAGTCTTAACTTGGTCGATGCTGAGGGGCTTCATTAAATACGAACGAGGCCTAAGTTGTCGCGTTACATGTCAAGGAATCTCTCTCTCAAATTTTCAGGCCAGTTATTATGACATGGAAATTTTTCTATTCCTTTTGTTTTTCTATTGCTCATAGAGGAGGAGAGGAGGATACAGACTTCTTTTTATGGGAGTCCGGTTAAGAATTAGAAGCAGAAGACACAACAATAAATGTGTTGGACTTAGGTGATCCTAGCTTCAAATAGTTTTTAGTCCTGCATTAGCATCAAGAATATCGGGGCTCTCAATCCTCTTTTTCTTCCGGCAGTTTTCGTTTTTGACTTTTTGAAAACTATCATTTTGAAGGATTAGGCAATAAGATAAAGGAAAAAGCTTGATTTCGAGTATAAAAATCGTGTCAACCGACGACCATTTTAGTGTGAGTTTTCACAAAATCAAGCATTCGATACACGATCTTCATCAGTTAGGTTTCACAAACCGAACTTCCGGCTGTCATCAGAGTGTGAATTCTTTTGTACTACAAACTTAATTATTATTACATATTTTGCAATATTCACATACAGTCAATTCTAAATGACTATCAATTAGTACATTTACTATTTTTTTTTTTTTAATATCACAATTTTCTAAAATATTTCACCTCTTTTTTTAGGGATAACGAAATTATGAAAAAAAATAATTCCTGTGTGTCCATTTCTGATAAGTGTATTATATGTCAATTCTTTTTTTTGTATTTTAAAGTATTTATGTAGATAATTTGTAGAGTTAGGATAACTTTTAAAATTGTATATGTCTGTTCTTTTTTTTGCATTATAGAGTATTTATGGAGATAATATGTGTCTATTTCTGATAATTGTATATGTCAATTCTTTTTTCGTATTATAGAATATTTATGTAGATAATTTGGAGCATTAGGATAACTTTTAAAATAGAGTATTTATGGAGATAATATGTGTCTATTTCTGATAATTGTATGTCAATTCTTTTTTCGTATTATAGAATATTTATGTAGATAATTTGGAGCATTAGGATAACTTTTAAAATTGTGTATGTCAATTCTTTTTTCGTATTATAGAGTATTTATGGAGATAATATGGAATGTTAGTTAATTTTTTATAATTTTAAAATATTTAAGTAACTTAAATTGATCCTTTTTTTGCTTCGATTTGAATATGACGTCGTTTCGATGAGTTGGATGAGATTTGCCGATCATTAATTTTTAACTGCTAAGAATTCAATAATTTTTAAGTTTTATTAATGTTTAAACTACTTTTCGATAACTTATTTAAATTTTTAAGTTTTATGCGATTTACCAAATACTAATTCTTAACTGCTAAGAGTTCAACAATTTTACTTTTCAATAACTTATTTCAATTTTTTAGTTCTATTGTTTGTTTAAACTACTTATTGTAACGAATTAATAAAAAGACTGAAAATAGACTTAATTTAAAATAAAAACACTCATAGAAAAAAGAAAAGCACATTAAAAAGAAATATAAAACACACCTAAAAAAACCAATTAAAAACACAAAACACTTCCATAATT